TTGTGGTCCTGGTGGTCCCATTGGTCCGTCCTGTCCTGGTGGTCCAGGCGGTCCCATGGGACATTTGATGCATCCACCGGCTCCACCACCGAAACTTATTTGAATTCCGTCAACTCCGCGTTGTCCAGGAAGACCGGGCAAACCTGGTTCTCCATCTGGACCTTTAGGCCCAGGTGGACCAGGCGGACCGGGTGGACAGTTCTTTGATACTGGTCCACAGTTGCAATGTGCTGGCCATTGACGACGTGAACGAGCTGAATCAATTATTGCATTTTCTTTTTCAATTGATCCTGTCATTCCAGAAAGAACTCTCCTTCGTTCTCTTCGCGATACATACCAAGGTCGCATCTCCTTCCACGCATAGTTTGCCATTTCCTAAATTTGTTGAATGTTGATTATGATCAGAAGGAAATCTAGGAGAAGCAAGTGTAACTTACTCTGAAATCTGACAACTCCTCTATGGCGTCGTCGTAAAAATTGTTGATGTCGACGATAAGGTAGCCGATAAGAATAACGGACAGAATTGTAGTGATTGATGTGAAGCCAACTATGCCGGTGGCTATCATTGATGCGTTACTAATCATTTTGAGGCTAAAAATTTCAAAATAAGTGTATTCTACATTTATGCAAGGAAGTGCACGTAAGTCGTTTCGTAATATAATAGTGCGACTGCACTGTAGGTGACATTGTACATCAGAAAGTGATTTCAGCAAACCTGTAAAGGATCTTCAGAAAATCCTGAAACCCCAGATCGAATATGAATTTGATAAAACAATTTCAAATTCATTTAAGGAGCTGATTTTTCAATAAGTTCAAAATCTCTTTGTAACTTGAAATTAAAATTTTGACCAATAATTCTAAAAGACTTTTGAGATTAAATGAAGAAATAAACTGAACAAAAAAGAAACTAAACTAATTTGACCAAATTCATAAAAAAAAGCAGAAGATAGCTTTTCCAAAGTTGTAAAATATTGTGCTGGACACGGTTGTGGTTAATAATAAGTGAAACTAGCCGAATTGCAATAAATTAGTACTAGACAAGTCATTTTTATAGATTTCTAGTACTTCAGATTACGGTAAGCGACTGCCATAGGTCTAAATGCTGAAAGCACCAGCATTGGCGTAATGGAATTCTTGGGAACAAAACAATAGCAGTATAAATGAAGAATCTACTACGGTTTGGGTTTGCAAGCAAAATGAGAACCCTTTATATGCGCGAGTAAGGTGACTAGTTTACAACAGATCTAATCTAGAACGTATTTGCACATCTCACACCACTGGTGAGTCCATTTTTTTCGCCCCACTGAAACTAAGGCGCGTACTTCTCGTCGATTCATTCTCAAAATGATACGCTAAATAGTTTTTAACAGCCACAAAATACCACAACTCTCTACGATTTTGTTCGCGAAATTATTGTCTCTTACGGGAACTCTGCTGACAGATAGAACAATTGATGAGAGTGTCTTACGTTGTTGTCTAAGCATTTGTGTGTGAAACCAGTTCGTTACCTCTAAGAGCCAAACCCAACGTCTCGATCATCGTCTACGATAACCAGCCATATTAGAAAGCTATGTAGTATAAGTAAAAGGCTGTAATCTGTCATGATCTTCGCCACTAATCAGAACTGATTGAGAATTGTTAGCGATAATGGTTAATATATCATGCGGTGAGCTCTTATATATTACAAGGGTTATCAAACACAAAAACTTGCTACCACCTCAGTAAGTGACACCATTGAACGCTCGTTGATTGTTTTGCTGAACATTAATCAGGCTTCATTGCTTTTTTAGGTGTCCCAAGTTGGTTCCAGGTTGTGTAAAAATGGAAAAAACTCAACGAACTTAACTGCGGAGTTTCTGTTGCGTGTAATAAAAAAA